CCATCATACTTCCGCGAGACAGTCATGTTACCCACCTGGTTGCTAAACATTATCACCAACGCGTACATCACCAAGACAAGAGAATGACCTTAAATGAAATACGCTCCAATGGTTTTTGGATACTCGGAGGTTCATCGATAGTCACCAACTTGATTTCGTCTTGCGTCAAGTGCCAGAAACTCCGCGGTTCAGTTCAAGAGCAAAGAATGTCAGATCTACCTGAGGACTGCCTTGAATCCACACCACCTTTCACCTATTGCGCTGTGGATTACTTTGGGCCCTTCATTGTTAAAAATGGTCGTACAGAGTTGAAACGCTATGGTGTCCTCTTTACCTGCTTGGCGTCGAGAGCTATACACCTCGAGATCGCTAACTCGCTCGAGACGGACTCCTTCATCAATGCCTTGAGGAGATTCATTAGTCGCCGTGGTCCCATCCACCAGCTAAGGAGTGACCAGGGTACAAACTTCGTTGGAGCTCATAAAGAACTTACCCAAGCGCTAGCTGAGATGGACCAAGAGAAGTTAAAAACGACTCTACTAGAAGAACAGTACGATTGGTTTTCCTTCAAGATGAACGTCCCAGCAGCGAGCCACATGGGAGGAGCTTGGGAGCGCCAAATTAGATCCGTGCGTAACGTTCTCTCGTCACTATTCCAGGATAACTGGAAACAGCTGGACGATGAGTCTCTTAGAACCTTGATGTGTGAAGCCGAAGCAATAGTCAATAGTCGCCCCTTGACAGTGACCCAACTTGCTGATCCAGATTTGCCAAGTCCTTTAACCCCTAACCATCTCCTGACGATGAAGTCAAAGCTTGTTTTTGCTCTGCCAGGCGCGTTCCAGCCATCAGATGTTTATTGCAGGAAGCGCTGGAGGCGAGTCCAACACCTGGCGAACGAGTTCTGTACTCGCTGGAGAAAGGAATTTCTTCTCAGTCTCCAGTATCGGCAGAAGTGGACACGCAATCGGAGAAATTTACAAGTTGATGACATCGTCATGATCAAAGACGAGAATCTCCCTCGGAGCGCATGGCAACTTGCTCGTGTTTCAACTGTTTACCCTAGCCCTGATGGCCAAGTCCGTAAAGTCCAAATAGCTCTTGCGGATAGCTGTTTGGATAAACGAGGCAAGAGGATTGGCTCAGTGCGGTATCTCGAGAGACCAATCCAGAAGTTAGTGTTGTTGATGCAAGCGCCAAGGGACAAGAACCGGAGTAATTCCCGGCCGAGGAGCCTTGACAGGAAATGAACTGAACTTTATGAGGAAAATTTATTTAGACAACGCTTGAGCTTTAATAGATTAATAATTACAATAGGTGAAATATGAATATTTCAGAGGAGCCATGTCAAGGACATTAGCCAGAAGGCTCATTTTTTGATTGATTATTGATTAGTTCACTAATTTCAGAATGATCTTAGATAGCCACATAGTTACAATGCTTATCTGTTTTTCTGTATTTCTATTGGTTTTGTAATCGGACCTTTCAGCGTCACCACGCGCATATAAAAGGCAATTTTAGCGTCCCTTTAATCAGTTCTTCGTAAGTTTTGAATAGCCTTGGTTAACGTTCGCCCTTTCGTTTTTCTCAACCTCTGACACAAGCAGGACCGATATGTGAGTACCTTTGTAACTTTGTTTTTCCCTCTCCAGTCTTTTCAGTGTTGGGCGACAACATACAAACAAATATTGCAATGATCTGTATAGATTTAAGATTCAAAGGCCAAATTCGTGCCAATTTGCGAGTCAGTGAACACCCATCATTTAGATAGAACAATGGGCTGTTTATCAGTCATCAAACTCTTTTAATTTGTTTCCAAACTTTTGTTCTGTTTCACTTGTATTGTTAATCTCGTTATAGACTTTAGAGCCCAGTATTTAAGATGCGATTCTTTGATCATGTATTCCGCGGCTTTTCGTTAGATTGATATAACTTCGTTGTATTGTTGTTTCAGTTTACGATCGATCGTTGGATAGATTGATTGACTGTCAGAATAATCGTTATTTTCGTCATTGATTGTGGTTCGTGGTCGATTACTTTTCAAGAATAAAGATTCGTGCAAACAGTCAACTTTGCGTTGTCATTTCGATCAGTAAAATAGTCCCAAACACCTCGTTAACCGCGTTTTGGAGCAACACGCCCTTGAACTTTAGAGTTTAGATTTTGGTCGCTGTAAACGCTACACTTTATTTAATCTTTCTAAAATGCAACGTCACAATGCTGGGTCCAAATTCGGGTAATTCGGCCAGCGTGTTTTTCGTCTTTTCACCCACTTGCGTTTCGATGACATCAAAATGATTATTGCATAAGGGGATGTAATGAATGTGTTTGGGTTCGAAATACACCGCACCTTGTAAATGTTCGTGGTAGGGTATCTGGTGTAATAAATTGGTCGTTTGATCTCCCATGGTCAATGGCGCACACAGCGAAGAATAGACGTAAAGATTGCGGTGGCTGACGGCCGTAGAAGGTGTATTGTGGGGGTTGTAATGAAAGGTCCAGATGATATCACTGAGTGAAAAACGATGCGTATCTCGGACTGAATCATCTTTCCAAGGAATGTCGTAATAATAGTACGAAGTTTGAAGGGTATTAAACGTTCTACCTAATGGCCAGTCTATACCGCGTTTGGCCACAGAGAGATTCGCCCTGGGGCGTGCTACCTTATCATTATCCACTTTCCTTCCCTGCAAATCGGTGAATTCTACCTCGGTGATTTCTGTCCATCCTCCCCACCTGCAGAGGTCTCGATGTAACTCAAAGTAGACATCACTTTTAAGGCGCACATCTCTCAAATGGCCTGAATCGATGTTTTCACACGATACTTTCACGGTTCCTTTTTCTCGATCGCATGTCACTTCAAATTGAAGGGATTTGTCATTGGGTAAATGACTTCTCCACATATCATCCAGACTATATACAAATTTGATGTGTTCTTCCTGAAAATGGGCTTCTAAGATATCAAAGGGTGTAAGTAATGTATGCTTTTTGACTTCGCCATACCTGATGAAAAACGTCACTTTCTTAAAGGTCCTTTGCGAGTTGACGACTAAGCGACTGGTTGTGAGAAGGACCTGATTGTCTGATAATCCTCTCAAAAAAGGTTCCCATCGGTTCTTGAGTGACAGAGCGTAAGGAAGTGTGATACTCGCCAACCCTACTTTCCACGTTCCGTGTGAATTGATGCGTGATTTCAGTTGATTTTTCCAAGAATGGTGAGTGTTGCTGGGAAAGTATTTTTTACTTCCATCGTTACTCGGTAGGGTTAAATAAAAGGAATTCATCATCTTCACTCCAATAAAGACACACACAAATGATTCCTTTTCCACACACTTTATTTCTTTTTATTACAATCCAGCTTTTACTTTAGCCTGCATGATGCGTTTCACAATACGTTCCGTCATGGTGTTTTTTCCGAAGCGTTGAATACCCGTAATCATTTTACGAACGGCTGCGTGTTTATCGGCAAGAGATTTAGATTTGCTGTAATCGATATCATGCTGTTTGGCTAATTTATCGAGACGATTAATACCCGGGTGTCCGCGTTTAAGACGCATGGCTAATTTCGTCCCTGGACCCATGTACTGATACCCCGGCCAATGAAATTCTATGCCTAGTTTACTAATCCATTTCTGAAGATCGATTTTTCCACCAGATTGTCTCCTTTTTGTTCTGTTACTTCTTCCCTTTCCCTTTGCCTTGGCTTTTGCCTTTACTCTCCGGCGCTTTGTATTCCGCATGTTCTATGGCTTGCAATGGATCCTAACCTCTCTTTTCCCACAGATCCCACGCCCGTTCGATCCCACTCTTTATCTTGTGAATACTATGTCGCTTGGACTTGGAAGATCCCAGTGGAGTCGATGGTAACAATCGTTTTTTCCCCGTCAGAATGGGTATCAAAGGTAAATCTTTAGACTCGTCAACCCAAAGGGAAACTGAATGGGTTTTTTGGCAGTACTAGTTCCCGGTGTAGAAAATAATTTCTTGGGGGTGATGATCTGTTTTTTCTTCTTTTTCTTGGAAGTGGAAGGTGAAGGAGTTTGTACTACGGCACCAGCAGCAGTAGGCACTTGGATTGTTTTGACGGAACGAACCAAATCTTTGAGAAGATTCTCCTGTACGGAATCCAATAGATTTCCCTGCGGATCGTCTTGACTAGGTCTGACACCCGCGGGTAATTGTCTCAACTGATCAGTTAATTGTCCTTCTTGCATTAATAATTGTTTTACCATGGGTTCTTTCAATCCTGCTGGCGTGCGTGTATCTCCAAGTAACATTTGAGTTTCGGCAGCCACTCGTGCTCCTTTATCTAGCAGGGTACTTTCTGATATTTTCCCCTTATAAAAATCTACCAAGGCCTGAAATTCTTGCGGGTTGACGATCAGTTTTGTTTCCATGGTTTAATCAAGGGTATCACAATGTGTTCGCTTATCCATCGTAACCAGGAACACCCCGTGCTGTTGTTGTCACCACTCTCATCAAACTCGATATGAAAGGTAATACCTGCGTCTACTTGATCTATATTCTCTTCTACTTCTATCTTGGGTTCACTCATTGTTTTACCGGACAGTGACAGAACACTTTGTTCATTCCTCACCAAAAGCCTCCACCCGTCTGAGCAGCCTGTAACTGTTTCCGTTTTTTTAAAGAGTTGACGTGCTTGCCTATCTCGCGCAACACTTTGCTATACTTGCTCAATTTAGCCACCGTCTGTGGCGGTAAGGGAAGGCGACGTCTCAGCATGTTCATGACCATTTCACTCACACTATTGATTTGATCTTTACTGGAGTGTAAGATTTTTTCCTTTCGTAACTTGGAATTTTTTTTACGCAAGATAGATTTTAAAAAATCGACATTTCTTTTTAGGCAATTCTTCCTCTCCTTCTTTTCGTAGCTGCGTCTAACGCTTTCTTAGCACCAAATCCTGCAGCACCACTCAAGGCTCCTAACGCCACAGCTTTTCCTCCAGCAATGAGAGCAGGGATCAGTGCAGCTAAAGGTAATATCCCTCCTCGTTGTTTTCTCCTCGTAACCTTATTTGTGGTCTTTTTTCTGCGTCTTCTCACAGCGTGTCTATTGCGTCTGGCCATTTATAATCCCCTGACCTCTTTTCACTGGTCCACTCACCCACACAATGAAAAGAATGGCTGACGTCAAACGTTTTTATTTCCTTTTCCGGTTGAGTCTCTCGATAAAACGTTTAGCCATCACTTGACTCAACACCTGAGTATTGAGTATGTTTTTATACAAATTGGGGCCTATTAAGGCTCCTATGAAGTCTCCTCCGCGTTGTCTCTTGTTAAAGTGTTTAGCCAACGCTCGACTCAACGCCGGCGTTTTCTCGAGGAATTTATGTAAATTGTGTCCTAATGATAATGATCCTACCAAGTCTCGTCCGCGTTGTCGCCTCCTACTCCTCTTACGAATGTTACGTTTACGCATCTCTGTAACATCTCATGCAACCTTCGTGTTTTAAGAGATGACTCACCAGTCTCATAGAATCGTGACTCGCCGGGTGTACATCAAAACACAAATAACCATACGGTCTTTCCGTGCATTCGTTATATACTTTCATGACTTCTTGCCATTTGGTAGGATACATTTGCAAGAGCAGATTCCTTAATCCAATTTGATCCCGCGGATTTTTAAAGGCAATGATGTATTGGGCATTTCTAGAGATGGTTTTGGCATATTTCCCCGCTGGAAACATATTTTGACAGAGGTAGCATACGATGAGATTTAAATGATGCGAATATTGGGTAAACAAATTCAGAATGTCTTTATCGTTTCCGCCTTCCGCCATCAAATCATCCAAGACTAACATGCCACCTTTCGTATCACCAAACCATTCTTTAATCTTATCGTCGTCAGGCACTCCCTCGTCAAATTCTATCCCATGCTTTTTCATGTCATCGAAATTCGGTTGCCACGACCCGTAGCAATACCGAATGCGTTTCAGGGGTACGGAAAATACTTCCGGGTTTTCTAGCAGCAGGCGTTTTAGAAACATCGTTTTACTGCAACTGGTAGGACCCACTATTAAAAGATTGGCTGGGCATTTAATGGAAAATCCCTCTTCTAAACAGGATGTTGCCATGTTTCTCTCACACACAGAAATGACACTGGTAGTACTCATCAAAATTATTTTATTAACCCTCGAATCATGTCCTCTAACATACTTCCTACAATATGATCGTTTTGCACGTAATCAGACCTTGTAAAATAACTTAAAAAATCATCCATGCTTTGACCTCGAGCTTTACACATCAAATACACTATGGCATAATTGCCGTAACTGGCCGTTTTAATCGATTGTAAGACGCGATAGTTTTTACGAACGTAGTTCCATCGATTTAACCATACCAGAAACAGTGCCAAATATTGGTAGGTGTGTAAATCTAATCCGTAACTATCTAAAAGTTCACACGAATCCTCATAAGTCCACACGGCTATCCAATGCTCTCCTGGTTTATGACCGGGATGCGTATTGACAATGTAAGCTTGAGGTGATCCTCGAAGCGGTGTGGTAGGTAATTCGTCGCAGGCAAAGGCACCGACATAATAGCGTTTCAGGATGGGATCGCGTTCTCCCAAAGCGTTTAATTGATCCGTAGATAACCTTACAAATTCCATGACTAATTCACATCCATGCTGACACCTCCTTTAAACCCATCGATTTCCAGCATGCTTTCGTATTTGCTGTAAATCATGATGGTTCTATTGGCTGCTTGTGCTGCACATTTCAACTGAATGTTGATAAATTCTGCTTCTTTGGGGAGTAAGATGGGATTGTCTTGTCTTCCGTTAGCCACGTTGGACCAGGCAAACAGGGTATAATTCTTTCCATGCCCCCAATCGGCAAAACGAACCATGTTACCCCCTTTTCTATACAGGCATCCTGTAGCTTCCAGAAAACCGTGATACCCCGTCATATCTTTGTAGCCGTTACCTGTGTTCAAATCCATCATCTCGTAAGGGTATTCGTCTCCATTCCAAATCTGTTTCACCCATTCCACTCCAAATTTTCCAAAGGCAAAAGGGTCTTTATCGGCTTGCCCGTTAAAAGCTGTGGTAGCCAGAATACCCAGCACGATTCTCTGGGGAATTTTCCCGTTAAAGGGATTGATGATTTCTTTGTAGGTAGCTGCATTATCCAGGGGAAACTGTCCCATTTCTGTGCGAACGATAGGGTATTTGGCTGGAGTTTTGGTCAGAATACTCATGGCATTATCGTAGACCGAGGGGTTGAGAGAGACTAAACAGACGTAAAAGGTAAGTTTGATATCATCTACATGCTGTCTCACTCTTTCGGCACCGGGGTTGGCTTCTGCGTTAAAGTACAACGCCGATGGATTGAGATAAAATTTCAATTCTACCTCTGTCCCGGGTGCTAACCATTTCCCTTGATGGAAAATATCCACAAAGGGTTTCATTCTCATTACTCTGCATTTCCCTCCTGCATAATAATCTCTGGCTTCTGCTTTCTGGGCCAAAATACTGGCTTGCTGGTTGGCAGATAAGGCTCCAAAATCAGCATCTTCGTCCGATTTGACATCATTCGCCGTGTAGGTTTCAGGAGAATCGATTTCGTTCCTCCAACCCGCCGAGGCTAAAATTGTTTCGCCGTCAGCTCGGTTATAATTCAGTAGGGTCTGTATGTAGGCTTTCAGGTGATACATGTCTACTTGTTCGGTGATCAGCATACCATTGAGTTTTACATTGATTTGTTTAAACAGGGAGTGGGCAAGGTTATTGCAGGGAGCCAGCTTTCTGTTGACGGCATCTACCCAGGCTGTGAGGTTAGCATTTCCTGTGGTTTTAAACCCCAAATCTAATTCCACAAAACTTCTGTCCCCAATCGATAAATTCGGTCTGTTTAGGAACGTAGATCTCTATGGGTGTAATACTGGAGGTCTGTGGTGATACTTTCATAAAACGCGATTTCACCGTAGAAAGATCTACAGGTGGTACACGAAACAAATTCAAACTCGGGTTCTGTTCTGCGCCTTTGATCGACATGTTGATGCTTCAACGTCTCCTGCGTTTCTGAACTCTGCGACGCCTCTGCAATTTCTTTATACGTACAAATCCCCCTCGTTGTTTCCTTCTTCTTTTATACCGTTTTAAGATAGTGGTCACTACATCTCCACGGGTCGAAGTTCCCACACCTATATGACCACTCCCTTCTCTGGCTTCTCCCCAATAGACCATCTTTTTTAATCGTCAAAAATATCATTGAGTTTCCTAGTCACTCTTCTCTGTACTTCGTGCTAGATGGCTCTTTTGACTCCTCTCTTCACCCCTCTAGGAAATTCTGACAAAGATCGTTGCGCGAACGCTCTTTTAAGGCCTCTACCCGTTCCCTTGGCCACATCTTTGACCATGTCTTTAATGCCCGCTCCTACTTTTGTATCCCAACTTCCAAAGAAAGGTGGAGGGTGGGATGGCCATCGATGCAAAGAACCCCCTTTCTGGTCTCCGGGAACGTAGACTTGAAATCTCCGTAACGATCCGTCTCTCATGATGTCACCAATGACTTTAAATTTTTTCCCACTCTTGAAAGGTCTTGTTATAAAATTCTTTACCGGCATCCATTTGTAATTTCTGAGGTTTCCTTCCCTGAGTTACAATTTTCCTAAACGCTTCCGTAACTTCTTTTCCCGTTTTCTTTTTAAGGGGTACTGCCCACGCATATTTTGAAAACGCATCAACCACCACTAAAATGTAACGATACCCTTTATTCTCTTTGGCAATGGTCTCTACTTCGATCAAATCGGCGACCCATTGTTCATCGATATCAAAGACTATCACAAGGGCAAACTCTCCTCGGCGGCGACGCGGTTTGTGGAGGGTATAGGCTAAATTCTTTTCCAATTCTTTTTGGGCTTGGGTATGGGAAATCTTTTGGGCTTTGGCGTACGGCTGAATACCTCCTAAACTCCCCACATGTCCAGGTGATTCGTATTCATGGCATTCAGTTTTTGTCTTGGACATTGCATTCCGTAAAGTAGTTTCGACCACAGAGACATGGTACACACTGATCAGATTTATCACCGTCTTTTCTTATAATGTTTCACATTATCGACAATTCCTTTCAAAGCTTGTTTTCCTAATAGCATTCCTAGGTTGCCAAATCCAGGGGCGGGACCCGATAAAAACATACTGGCTGTATAAGCTATCTTATCAGTGAGTGGAGGGCCTTTTCTAAGCCATCGATTGGCTTAGAAAAGTAGAAGAAAAAAATAGAAGCACCCCCTCGTTATTTTTTCTTAGCTTTTCTTCTTCTTCTGCGTTTCCCCATGATTGGAATAAAAATGACAGACACCTCTTTACATCACACATTTTATTACTTA